GATATGACAGCAAAATACATATGGAATGATCTGGATTATACAATTAGGACAACTATGGAAAAACTAGTATGGTATTGGCCTTTAAGTTAGATTTTGTAGCCATTATTGTTAGCTTCTTCTGGTCTCCAACTACCTTAATTGTAGGCACATGAAACCAGTATAGTCTTGCAAATCACCAACAGCTTTGGGACTAGGATAAGAGAAAGAGTGCTTCCCACAATGGGCAGCAAGATTTGTGGTAGCAAGACTTGAGGAAGACTGGAGTAAAACCATGGTGAGAGCAGGATTCTGATGATGGTGGTGGAGAAGGTGTGGCATTGCTGTGAAGAATTTGTGGTAAGGTGTGACCTGAAGCTTCTTGTATTTGTACTGGTCATCGTTAAAAATTTTTGCTATTCTTGCTGATGCTTGAAGGAGAAGCTTTTAACTACTCTGAGGAAAACCTTGTTGGATGATGTGGATTTGATCACTGAACAAAAACTGAAGCCCAGACTACTGTTTTGGGTGACTTTCTTTGCCTCCGCTACTTTCCAACTTACTTTCCTAATAAACCCCATCCTCAAGTCCAGAACTGTGAGTCTGTGAATCAATAATGAATAAACGAACCTCTTGCTGTCGATATGGCTTTAGCGTAACTATGGATATGGGCTCTTATTTGCCTTCTGCTCTGAGGTGGTGAGGGGATGTGTTACTCTTACTCCCACTGGCCTTTTCAGAGGCCTTGTGCCACCATGTACAATTTTCTGCTCTTTTGACAACTGTTGAAAAGTAACTACAATTGATGATTTAGTCAGTAGTATCATGACAACATGACAATGTCAAATTCTTAGTTTTGATAAATGTATACCACATCTGCTACTAAGCCAAAGGCGGGTGACTTTTAATCTGTGGCCCTTGGGCCTCTCTTTCATTGTTTTTGTTCAGACATTCCTCTAGGTCTTATAGCCCTGGTGTACAAGTTGCCGTACAGCAGTAACTTGTGGTTGCTGTGAGGCTGAACACTGTGACACTGCTGTGTCAAATGTGTTAATGGTTAGTACACAATACGGACAGTGTGGGGTGGAGCTCCCCAATTAAAACAAGCTTGGAGGGAGGAGTGGCATCCACTTCCGTAATAGCTTGCCTCCGGAAACCCTATGAAACTGGAGAAAGGATAAAAGACACCCAAGTGTTGAGGACTTTCCTTCATAGGGTCACTATGAGTCGCCTGAGACTTGACGGCACTTAACAACAACACAACATGTCAACATTACAGGAGGCTGAGTTGATAAGACACACATTTTCTGCATAACTTGGACAACTTTTCTTCATAGCTTATTTTAAAGTGAAATTCTTTAAAAATGATAGATAAAAAGTAGCTAGAAGTGAGAGGGAAAACATTAACTTTTCAATATAATTTGCAAAGGTGACATAAAGGCTAAATTTTAAAACCTGCAGGGTTGCATGGTATTCCGCTGTACAACTATAGTACAGTTTCTTTATCAGTTCTTTTTTTTTTGGATTGTTTATCTTTACTATTGCAAATATTATTGCAATAATATTATTGCAATAATACTATTACAGGCACAAAAGAACAAATATTATTTAAGACTACTCACACAAGTGTTGAGGACTTTCATTCTATGGTCACTGTGAGTCGTCTACAACTCGGCAGCATTTAACAACAACAACTCTTATAAAAAGCTTAATAAAGGTTTACAAATGGAATAATTTTTGGATGACGGTTAGGACTAGAATGGGAGGAAGAAAGGAGTAAACATCAGTAAATAGGTAAGGAACACATCAAGATGAGTGATAGGAGTGACAATGTACGATACGAGAATGACCAGCACAATAAGACACAGAGAGGCATAGAAAGAAATGCGAATTATAAGGAGGAAATTGGAAAAGTGCATTTACATTGTGGACACTGAAATTGCTTTAGAACAAAATGAGAATTAAGGCTAGGATGAATAATGAATTTGCTTGGTAAACTTTCATCCAAAACAAATAAAAAATATAAACAAAACTGAAAGGCTGCATAGTTAGAAGGGGGGACAAAAGATTAGTTCCGATGGTTTTAATGAGTAGAATTAGGACCAAGTTTCAGGAATAGTTGGTGAAATGTTTCTATCTTACTGTTGTTACTGTTACATGCCATTGTGTCTAGTATGTCTCACCGTGACCCTATGAACAACAGTTCTGAAGCCTATCCTCTCCGGCACCATCCTGACCAAACCTGACACAATTGAACCCATTGCTGCAATCCTCATATCAAACTCTCTCACTAAGGATATTACTTTACTTTGTTTTCCAAGGTACAGGCTCGCATAATAACACCCAAAGTATGTGGGTTTTGTCATCCTTGCCTCGAATGAACACTGTGGCTGCACTTACTGTTCCTCTGTTAGTCCATGAGACTTTAAGTACTCTCCTCTAACACTATATCAATTCTTTCTGTCATTTATAATTTAGATCTCAGATGCATCACAGATGATTAGAAAGGCTATGGCTTGAGTCAAGTGTACCTTAGTCTTTAAACTGACATCATTGCCCTTCAGGACTTTGGTGCAGTCCCTGACAGCCAACTTTCTCAATGCTATATTCATCCTGATCTCCTGACTGCTGGTACCAAAGATGTTGATTGTGGATCCAAGCAAGATGAAAACATCAACAATTTCAATCTTTTCTCCATCTATTATGATTTACCTATTGGCCCAGTGGTGAAGACTTTTATTTTCTTAATTTTGAGATGTAATCTATATTGAAAGCTGTAGCTCTTAATCTTCTGTGGGAAGCACCTAAAACCCTCCTTTTTTCCAGCAAGCAAAGTTGTGTCATCTGTATAATGCAGAGTGAGCTAATGAGTCTTCCTCCAATCTGATGCCACATTCTTCTTAATAATGTTCAGCTTCTCGAATGATTTGCTTAGCACATAGAACAAATAGATATGAAGAAAAGATACAGTCTTAGTGCACACATTTTCCAATGCTAAACCATGCAGCATGTGGTGTTTTCTTGCTCCTTTCAGACAGCAGTTTCTTGATCTAAGTTTTTATAAGCATAATTAATTGTCAGGAAATTCTTATTCTTCTCAATTTTAGCAATAGTTCGTTTATGTTCCACACAGTAAAATGTTTTGGTTTTTTTTTTTTTTTCAAAGTCAATGAAACACAGATAAATATTCTTCTGGTATTTTCTGTTTTCTGACATCAGCAATGCCCCTGATGTGACACTTCTAAACCCAGCTTGAACTTCTGACAGTTCTCGGTTGATGTACTGTACTAGCAGTTTTTGGATGATCTTAGTAATATTTTGCTTGCAGAGGATGCTAACGATATTGTTAGATGAGTTCCACCTTTCTTGGCAGTTGGAACAAAGATGGCTCTTCTCCAGCCTTTTGGTCAAATGGATGTCTTACAATTTTCCTGACACAGACTGGAGAAAACATCCAGGGTTGTATCTGCTAGTTAAAACTTGTCAACTGGTATCTCACTGATTCCTGAAGGGTTGGTATTTTTGTTTTTTGCTTTTTGTTTTTCTAACGCCTTCAATGCAGCTTGAACTTCTTCCCTCATCATCACTGGCTGTCTATAAAGTTGTTGAGAACTTGATGTGTGCCGGGTCCTTCCTAACTTAGCCAGTATGATGAATAAGACACGCATAGCCCTTTTCTGATGACACTTTAATCTGGTGTAAGTACAGATTCCAAGCCTGGCTGACCCTCGGAAGGCTTCTTCCTGCTTAATTAACCATCACGCTGAAGGCTGCTTTGCTCATTTACTTATTGATCATAAGCTACTTCCTGATATATTTCAGTGTCAGTTGTACCATTTTACAATCCCACCAGCAAGAGAGATGACTTTTAAACTCATGTGGGATAGATCCAACGTCATATATTCGTTCTTCTGGACTTGTTTTCATTCTTTGTAACATGAATTTGAACTCACACATGAGTAATTATGACTTATGTGCAAGTATATAGCTTGCCAGGAGATATTATATTAAGCAAAATTCTCCAACATGGTCTGGGCTGTCTCAGGAAATACTTTTGGATGATTGACAGTGCAGAGAGAGTGGGAAGCCTTTCCTAATGAAATCTTTCATCATTTTATTCTTAAAATGTGGTACAGAGATAGCAATATCTAATCCTAATGAACTGGGAACTATGAGAAACAGAGAAATGCAAAATCTGAAGCCATACTCCAGACATCACTTAAGAAGAATCTGTCTTTTCTCCCTGCTTCCAGGTGACTGGTAGGCATGATGAAACCCCGTGGTTCAGAAAGCTGAACTGGAGGCCTTTCATAGTACTTCCCGAGAGTTCTTACCAAACAATAAGATTATTAATTACTCTGACATTTTCTACTTTGACATTTTAAATAATTTATGAAATGATGCATATAATAACATAATCTTTGTTTAAAAATATTCTGAAACTATTAATAACACTAAAATTAAGGGTCACTTTAATTTAGAAGTATATTTTTAAAAGTGTAGCCAGAAAGGTTTTCATTATTGTAAAAAAATACTATAATAATTCTTATTAAAAGTAATCTTTAATTTATCACATTATTTTCCCTATTATTCTTGAAATCCTACCACACTTGTGCTTTATTTCCCATATATACGTTTATATTTCTCAAAGTGAATCCTAAAATTAATACTACATCGTATTTATAAGTAGAGATAAAATTCTTATTAGAAAACTAAATATTTCGAAGAAATTTTTTTACTGCTTTGAAATTACTTACGGAAATCGGAATATACATATATACTTGCTATAGAATGGTGTATCACACAATACAAAACCACCAAACCACTGCCGACTTCTAACTTCTCGATATGGTTTACAAGGTTTAAAATCCTTACAGAAACGTGCTGTTACTCTCTTTACCATTAAGTTGCAGGTGAGTTCACACCACCAGCCTTTCGGTTAGTAAGCAGTGCTCTAACTTCTGTGCTATAAGCAAACAGGGCTTTCACATCTTTTACTTAGGTTGTAAAAATCTGGCTAATACCTTCTGAGTTTTTTAAGCCATAATTTTTCCACATAGGACAGGCTGTCTTCTTTAAATTCAATCTCAAGTGGTTCTCTGACGATTTTCAGATTAGTTTGTACTTCACAAGCTTCCATTGACTCTACAAAAACAAAAGGAAACAAAATATGTGCATAATCAACATAACCGAGTCTACAAATTATGTTTTCTCACAAGACATAGGACACTTAACATTTTTTTCTGAAACATATACAATTTTATATTTATCTATATGTTCCACAGTTTCAGGCTGAAAGAATCCACGAGAGGTAAACTCAAACATGGGGCTTTCCCTGATCCACTTCTGTGAGTGAGGTGGGAGGGAGGGAGGGAACAGCTCGAGCTGAATGGTCCACAGGTCACTCCAGAGAGTACAGGACTCATCCACCCTGAGGGCAGCACGCAGATTTTGCAGATTCACAAAACAAAGCAGCATGAACGTGTACTGTTTTTGTTTTGGGCTTTTGGTTATTTTATTTTATAATGAAACTTATTACCATAAAGTTGGAACAGACCTGTAGCTGACCCTCCAGCAAATGTATAGAGATTTTTAACTGCACAGGAGGTGATTTGTTCATCTTTTTCTAACAGAGCAGCTGGGAGATTCAAACTCTGGACTGTTGACGTGGCGGGCAATACAACTCCTTACGCACGGCACTACAAGAGCTTAACCCTGGCAGTTTATTAAGTTCCCTGACAGTAATACATCGAAAAACAAAAACAAAAACAAAAATGTGTTTCTAAGTATGGTCGTCAATTTAAAAGTGTGCGGCAACGTGTTAAACAGTTCTAGTGAACATTTTCTTATATAATCCATTGACCTTAAAGGATCATATCATTTAAGAGGGTATTTAAGGTAACCAAATCTTTTAGGGAAGAAAAAGGAACATAAACATACGGATTATATTGTATATAAACACACATGTGTAAAGGTATATATTATGGTCACTGACAATATTTTATCCATTATGGGAAAAAGAAAATAATTTAGGATAACAAATAACTGCCACACAGATATAAACAACTGTCTCCATGAATTTACATCTATGTACTAATTAATTTCCAGATGTGTAACATATTTCTGAAATGCTGCTGAATTTAAAATGTGACTTAGAGATATTTAGAAGAGCTGATAACTAGGAAAGAATGCAGGACAAATCCAAGATGACAAGTCTAGTCTCTCAGCTATTGCTTGTCTCTCTGCAATAGTAGAAAATAAAGAGAAAATGAAAATTAGGAGGAAAATAAAAATACATTCATACAATGGAATACTATGTGGCATAAAGGAATAGCAATTGCGGAAAATACTATATAACACGAGAGAGCCTCGAGTGCATTATGCTGAGTGAACTAACTCAGTCTCTTAAGGACAAATAGTACCTAAGACCATCATAGAAGGATAACTCGTAAGGTGTGTATAAATGTCCAAATGGTGAATGGACAAGGGGAAAGGAGGTGGAAAAAGCGGGAAGGATGGAAATCCCTAGGAGAGCAGAATTTAGTGGGAAGAGCTGGGGGAGGAGAAGGTGTAGGTCCAATTTTTTCAGCACAGTTTGTGAAAGAGGCCAAGAAAAATTGACTAAAAAGTCACCATGCTTAAGAGAGAACTACAAGTCTAGAGGAGCGACTTAGAGGAAAGTTCCAAAGAAGCTGCAATGAAATTCCCTTCATTCTCTGCCATGCATTATTTGTTGTCGCTGAACCAATTCCAATCAGTGGTAGACATCCAGTGAAAATGATGACAGGTCTTTGAAAAGGTTATACAGACAGAGTATAGATGTTGATGCCATATAAACGGTGCCTTTATAGAAGGGGAGAAGACAGAAACACAGAAAGAGTAGTAGAGTGAAGACACAGATGTGCAGTTACACAATGACAAGTGAAGAATGCCAAATATTGTCAGCTATTGTTAACTATCAGGATTAGTCCTTGGAGAGGGACGTCATGCTTGGGAGGGTGGAGGGACAGCGCAGGAGAGGAAGACCCTCTATGAGGTGGATTAATTCAGTGACTGGGGTAATCGGGATGGGTGTGCTGGAGACAGTAAGATTGGCACAGCACAGAGCAGGGTTTAGAGCTGTTGTACATAGGGTCACCATGAGTCTCAGGCAACTCGACAGTACATAACAACAACAACATTGTTAACTGTTGATAAGGAGAGAGGCATGGGGCAAACTGTTCCTCTAACTTCAGAAGAAATTGCCAAGGCTGATTATTCAGCCTAGATTTTAGACGTCTGTCTTCCAGAGCAGGGTGACAGTACGTTTACCTGGCGTACTTTTTAACAACAGTCTCCAGTAACTGACACAGCAAGTGTTATGGCACATGGATTGATGATCTTTTCTAGAAGACAATTTTTTAGTTATGTGACGCTTTTAGCAGGATACCTCTGGTTTGTCAGGGCTATAAGGGAGGTTCCTTATAAAATGCCACAGAAGTGATGCGAATGAGGTTTTGGTTTGATCACTGGCTTCATGCCTCACTGGCTATCATTTTGGAGAACTTGGAGGGTATGCACCATGGCTCACACTGGTGGGGTTGTGGATATTTTCCTAAGAGACTAATAGAAAACACAAAACCCCCACGATGAAATTATGCTGGGGGTGACTGAGGAAAAACCAGAATGCCAGTGAGACTGAGGCTGAATACAACATGGGAACAAAAAGAGGTGATTTTACAGTGCATACAGCGTTTATATCACATAGAGAACCAGTTAGGACCAAATCCTCTTACTAAACCCACTGCATTTTACTATGAGAGAAATAAAGAAACAATGAAGAGCTATAAGAAAATTAAGTTAGAAATCAGTAACAGATAAATAATCCAAAATTAAAGAACACTACTAAATAGCTAGAAAATATGCAAAAATATAATGAGCATCATTTATAGTAAGATATCACTGCTGTTGTGTTATGTGCCGTCAAGTTGCCTGTGACTCACAGTTGCCCTATGTACAAAAGCTCTGAACCCTGCTCTATCCTGAGTCAGAGGCTCACTGATTCTGACCCAACTAATTCCATTTCCCCAGTTACTGTGGCAATCCTTCACATCCAGAGGCTTCCTCTCCTTTGCTGTGCTGTCCCTCCATCTTCCAAGCATGATGTCCCCCAGGGACTGGTCCCTCTTGGCCACGTGCCCAAAGTATGTGAAACGGAGCTTCAAAATCCTTGCCTCCAAAGAGAAATTTGGTTTCACTTTCTCCAAGACAGACCTATTTGTTTTCTTAGCAGTTCATGTAATGTTCAAGGCTCTTCTCCAGCACCACAAATGAAAGGTATCCATTCTTCTTCTGACATCCTTAGTCCAGCTCTCTGATACCTAGTATGTAATTGTGAAGATCATGGCTTGGATCAGGAATACCTTAGCCTCCAGACTGATATTGTTCCTCAGTATTTCTGGAGAGGTCTCTGACAGCAAATTTCCACAATGCAATTTGTCTTTTGATTTCCTGACTGCTGGTGCCAAGAGAGTCTTGACTGTGGAGCTAAGCAAGTTGAAATGGTTAACAACCTCATTCTCTTCTTCATCCATCATGGTGCTGCTAATAAAAATGTGTATGTGTTTGAGAGAGTGAATATACACATGTCAATATAAGTAGCAAGTGAAAATTACTATTCACCAGTTCATATATATGTATGTGTATTTATGGTAGTATGTAAAGATATAGAAAAAAGTAAAACAAAAACCTAAAGAATACACACCAAACAAAAACGACATCATGGGGGTTCTAGAGGCCTGGTGGGCGGACAGTTGGTTGTCAAACCGAAAGCAATTGATTAGAATTCAGCAGATGATCCGTGAGAGAAAAATTGGCAATTTCTTCCCATGCAATTTACAGACTCTGAATACTTCCTGGAAGAATGCAGTAAGGATATACCAAGACGAATATACTATTCCCCATCAGATCAGCACAAATTTGCAAGTCTAGCAATATTAAATGCTGAAAACAATGCAAAGCAACCGATCATTTCACATGCTTGCAGGTGGGAGTGTAAACAGGTACGAATATCTGTAAATAACTCCATTTAATTAATATAGCAGAAAACGTGCACATTCAGTGATCCATGTCTCTCTGTGTGTGTGTGTGTGTGTGGTGTGTATTTTCACCATATCATTATTTATAATAGCAAAAATGGAAAAAAAACAAAATGACTCAAACCATTAAATAAAAATAAATAGTTGTTGTTGTTGTTGTGTGTCATCAAGAGTCCTGCCACTCACAGAGAACTTACGCATAGTAACTCTGAACCCTGTCCTATCCTGGGCCAATCTCACTGTCACCCACACACCTACTTCCATTGCCCCAGTTACTGTATTAATCCATCTCCTCCATGGTCTTTCTCTCTTGCACTGTCCCTCTACCCTTTCAAGCATGACGTCCTTTCCCAAGGGCTGGTCCCTCCAGGCAATATGCCAAAGAATGTCAACCAAGCCTTCACAATCCTTGCCTCCAAGGAACAACTTGGTTTCATCCTTTCCAAGACAGCCCGGTTTGTTCACCTGGCAGTCCATGGTATGCTCAGTACTCTTCTCTGTCACCACAGATCAAAGGCATCAGTTCAAAGGCACGTGCATGCACCCCACCCCCTGCCCATTTCCCCATTATCAGTCTAAAGCACAAACTCATACACACACACACACACACACACACACACACACCACAGTTAATGTCAACGAAAGTCCCAAAATGGGAACAACAATCCTAGAGACTTCTGAGCAGCAGTCACACTGCAGATATCAACTTGTTATTTAAAAACATCCTCCTCTACTGGTTTAATGATAATATCTATGCTGACTTTTCCTCTGTCTTCTTTGCAGGTTCATATTTCTACCAGGTCATTAAATGCTATCTCTCTTGTCACTCTAGCTTTTTGACTATATTAAAATTCTTTGCTTTCAGAGTTTTATACAACCTCTCTTTCTTCAGTTCCTTGGACACAACAGACTTTACCACAAAGTGAATAAGGAAATAAAAAAAAAAAGATAAGAATGAATGTGCTTTAAATGTGGTGTTGGCAGAGAATTGAATATAATGCCGAAAGAACAAACAACTCTCTCTTGGAGCAAGCACATCCAGGGTGCTCTGTGAAGGCAAGGGTGGCGAACCGTCATCTCATAGTTTTTGGCATGTTGTCAGGTAGGATCAAGTCCTCAGCAAAAGGCATCATGCAGGCTAAGAAGGAGTCAGCGAAAGAAAGCAAGCCTTTCAATTACACAGATTGACACTGTGATTACAGCAGTGAGCTCGAGCCTGGTGGAGATCATGTGAATGATACACACCAGGACAAGTTTTCACTCTGCTCTTCATAGTCGACTTGATGACACCTAACCACCACCGCCACCACCACCACCTCCACCACCACCTCCACCTCCACCACCACCACCGCCACCGCCACTGCCACCGCCACCGCCTCTACCTCCTCCACCTCCACCACCACCACCGCCACCGCCACTGCCACCGCCACCGCCTCTACCTCCTCCACCTCCACCACCACCACCACTCAGTCTTTCCATTTGCTAGTAACTCTCCTCATTCTCCAATCCATACGTCTAGATCACAAAGAAAATCTTTTTCTCAAAGGGAGCCTTTTCCTAACCATCTCTATTAGTCAGGCCATGGCAGGAAACAAAGAATATGTCTAAAGAAGATAGAAAGAAAATGGTAAATAATAATCATATAAAAGGTTAAGGGACTGAATGATGGTGAAGCATTCAGAGATTAACAACCATGTGACCCAAGTCTAGGCTCAAAGGGAAACTTGAGCGATTACCGTAAGACACGGACAGCAAGGCCACAGGAGATAGGTTACCTGGTAAATGCTAACAAAACAGACAGACAGACTATTATCAAATTTCAGCACAAGAAAGGAGAAAGAGTAAATCCCTTCACTTCATTCTCAAATACTGAAGCCTTGACAGTATCTCTAACTGACCAAATCTAACAAGAAGCCAAGGAATCCAGGTAATATAGTGTCTATAGAGCAAATCTTCCCATGAATCTTATTTTGGTGATTTTTCTATCACATCTTGAAGGACTATTTGCTACCTTTTAAATACTCTAATTCTCAATGCCTTGATGATGACAAGATCTTCTGGGTGCTGTTGGCTGGCATGGTAAAAAGACAGCCAAATATGTTGTATAAAATCAGCACCAATATCTCTATCTCCTAGAACCTTTAAAACCTTGCCCTTATTAATTATCTGGGAAGTTCTAGTATCTTAATGTCACAATTTCTAAAACCACCATCTAACATGGACTTTAATTAACCAACCTAGCAGATTGCTAATGCCATTCCTAAAGTACTTGAGCCAACATGTTAAATCTCAAATCCTGGGTAATTACAGCTATATTGATGAATTCAGTCTGACCTAATCTCACTTAATCTAGCTCTTTTTACGATCCATTTCCATACATCCTTGTTCATGTGATGCTGAGCATGTGAGCTGAGACATTGCAACGTTTTGAGTAGATGCTATATTTCCCTAGAAAACTATAAACCACATAATGATAAATCATTTATCTTAGTCAACTTTACTTGTTAAGAATATTTTATATTACTAATATTTAAATTGCAAAAAAATACTAGCAAAACATGAAAAACACGTACATATGTGTATGCACATACAAATATATATAATAATAGATAAAGATGCCAACGATATCAAGAAAAATACTACTAGTAAATATTACCCAAGTGACTAGCAAAAATTCAAGTTATTTCTTTTTTTATCAAGTGAGCTATAGAATCTAAATAAATGAGACTAGACAGAGAAATAGTCCTTACAGATTTAGTGGGAATAATATTGACAACGGTAATCTTTTAGAAAATAATGACATTCATCATGGTTTTTAAAAACAATCTATAGCCACTAAATACATATTATCTGTATCCACCTTTACTTTAAATTAGTAATTTAAGTGTACATGTCACTAAGGATTGTAATAGTTATTGTACTTTCAGGCTGTAGTCTTTGATATTCTGCAACAAATGTTTCAAGTTCTCTTTACTTTCAGGAAGCCAGGTTGTGTTATCTGCATAAAGATATTTGTAGGTGAGTCTTCGTCTGGTCCTAATATCACATTCTTTTTCATAAAGTCCTGCTTCTTAAATGATTTTTCCAACATACAGATTGAAGAGGTACAGAGGGAGGATACATTTCTGTGCTGCAAATGCAAAGGTACATAGTTCGAATCCACCAGCTGCTCCATGGGAAAAAGATGGGCAATCTTTCCCTGTGGGATTTATTGCCTCTGAAAACCCACTGGAGGGTCACCTTTGAATAAGTTCTGACTTGACAGCACATGAAAACAATTTAAGGAATATAACGGAGGGTACTAATCTGATGGATTAGTGGTAAGGAATTGCACTGCCAACACAACGGTACACAGTTTGAATCCACTAGATGCTTCACCTGAGAAAAATGAGAAATCTCTTCCCAAGCAATTTATTGTCTATGAAAACCTGTTAGTTCCAACTTGATAGTACCCAACATTACTACATAAAAGACACAACTTGTCCATATCAGACAAATTAAAGTTATCTAATTCTCTGCTTATCTATCTACCTGAATTTAAATGGGAGACAAATTCAGATATCTCCAAGGTCCTCTTCAGAGTTCTGTGAATACCAAACCACAACCCCATGGTCTTATAACATATCCCATTTTCAGTTGCTTTAGTAAACTACTTCCTAACATGAGTACATCTTAAATACTGCATGGAAGTTTACAAAGAAAGAATACAAAAACATAAGTAAAAACTGAACTCTATTCTAATATTCACTTTATTAAAATAGCCCAACCTGGTTTTGCTGCACAGAAGTTTTGCCTCTCACGTGCTTCCTGATTCCCAGCTCTCCACTGATTTAAAGCTTCCTGAAAGGACCTGGCAGAAGCTGCTTCATCGAATGACCCTTCACACAAGAAGCCACCTTCCTGATTTGTAAATTCAGCCGGTGTTGAGGTTGTAAATTTCACCTAAAGAAATTAAAAAATACATGAAGGTGTGCTTGACTAAATTATATACATCTTAAAAATACAGGTAACTTTAATTATTAGTCATTATTAACTGGATATTATTTTTAAACTTAAAATGTCTTATTTGTTTATGTGAGTTACTATTTTTTAATCTCTATTTGAAATTATAAATGTTCTGTTCAGATTTATTAAAACTAGAGCTTATGGATTGACAGTTATCATCATACTACTTATTTACCAGAGTTCCTGAAAAGTTGTAATACTTTATTTCTTTTTTTTTAAGTTGTTTTGTGTGTGTGTACCATCAAACTGGATCTGACTGGTACAGCAGGAGATTGTCCCTCCTTCTTCAGCAGGGCATCTGGTGGATTTGAACCACGTGCCTCTGGGCTTGCAGTGCAGCTTCTTGCCACTAGGCCACCAGAGCTCACCTACTTTATTTCTAATAGTCCTATTTTCCTAATCATCTGCTCCTTCTACAGTCCAATAGCAGAAATAGCAACTCTTTTAAATGTTAATTTATTTATGTCACATACCTGCTTTGTTTCACCATCATTCGCCGTAAAAGCTCTCAAATTCTTATCAGAACCTACAAATTCTACACAATCTTACCTTCCTGGTTTATAACTAAATCTCTTCCCCTTCTCCTTTCATCCAACCTGATCCAACATAATTTAAACTCTTGCAGCTCTAAGAACCCAAAAAGTACATGTTGACCGAAGAGCGTTGCACTATGTCTGTACCCAGTGCCTAAAACTATGCTCCCTATCTTCAGAGAGTCATTTCCCAAACTTCACTCATCTTTACACAAATGCCACTTACTGAAATAAATCCTTGCTGATAATACTGCAAAGCAGGTAAAGCTTTTCCCTTTCTCCTCTATCCTCTAATCCTTCATCAATTTTCTTTTCCCCTAGAACTTAAATTTACAAAATATGTTGATTTCTTTATTGTTTTTCTTTCTTAATTAGAATGTAGATTAATGATTTTTCTTCTTCTTCCTCAATACCAAGAACACTATGTGGCATGAAGTCGACTCTCATTGAAAGTTATCTGAGTGAATGAATTAACAAATAAAATAATCTTACATACTTTGGCCATGTTGTAAGGAGGGACCGGTCCTTGGAGAGGGACATCATGCTTGGGAGGGTGGAGGGACGGCGCAGGAGGGGAAGGCCCTCTATGAGGTGGATTGATTCAGTGACTGGGGTAATCGGGATGGGTGTATCGGAGACGATGTGATTGGCCCAGGACAGAGCAGAGTTCAGGACTATTGTATATAGGGTCGCCATGAGTCGCACGCAACCCAACGGCACAGAACAACAACAACAACAATACTTATAAAACAATTCACATTTATTGGTGAGAGGTAGGATAAATTAATTGAGTATAATATATGCCTTGAGGGTTGAACAGTCAAAATAAGCTAAAATTTAGCAGTTATTCTTCAAATGAGAGAAAGTCAAATCATTAAACGTAAGTAAAATATGTTGTTGTTGTTGTTGTTGTTTTTGTTGTTATTGTTAGGTCTGTTGAGCCAAGTACAACTCAAAGCAACCTTATGAACAAAAGTCTGAACCCTGTGTTATCCTGCGCCATCATCACTCACTTCTCAACACACAAGAGCCCATTGCAGCAGTCACTGTGTCAATCCGCCTGGTTGAGGGTCTTCCTCTCCTTCGCTGACCCTCCATCCTTCCCAGCATCACGTCCCTCTCCAGGGAACAGCCCTTCTCAGTAACATGCCCAAAGAATGTGAGGTGAAATTTCATCATTCTTGCCTCCGAAGAGCACTCCAGCTGTACCCTCTCCAAGACACATCTGTTTGTTCTCTTGGCCGTCCATAGGATGTTCAGTGCTTTACTCCAACACCACAGCTCAGAGGCAACAATTCTTTTTCTATCATCCTTATTCGTTGTTCAGTTCTCTGATGCAAAGCAAGTAATTGGAAAGACTACAGCCTTAATCAGGTGAACCTTAATCCTCAAACGTACATTCTTCTGCTTGCTACAGAAGGTCAAGGACATATAGTCTTCAATATGGATTGAAGTTCAACATCAAGAAAATGAAGATTCTCACCACTGGGCCAATTGGCAGCACGATGATAGATGGAGAAGAGACTGAGGTGGTTAACAGTTACAACCTGCTCAGTCCAACAATCAACCCTGTTGGCACCAGCAGTCAGGACATCAAAAGAAGAGTTTCACTGGGAAAATCTGCTCTCAGGGACCTCTCCAGAATGCTGCAACAGTGTCAGTCAACAGTGTCAGTCTCGATACTAAGGTGCGCCTGATCCAGGCTATGGGCTTTGCAATTACTTGCTATTCATCAGAAAGCTGACCAACGACTAGGGATGGTAAGTTGTGGTGCTGGAGAAGAGTCTTGAACGTACCATGGACTGCCAAGAAAACAAATAGGTCTGCCTTGGAGAGGGTGAAACCAAGTTTCTCCTTGAAGGTTGGGATTTTGAATCCCTGTCTCACATACTTTAGGAATATGGCCAGGGGGCACAGGTCCTTGGAGAAAGATATCATGCTCTGAAGGATGGAGAAAAAGCACAGGAGAGGAAGGCCTCCAATGATATAGATTGATAGTAGTAACTGGGGTGATGGAAGTATATGTGCCAGAGTCAGTGAGATTGGCTCAGGACAGGGCAGGCTTCAGACCTGTTTTACACAAGGTTGCTATGAGTCGCAGGCAACTTGACAGCACATAACAACAATACACACTAATTTTGAATTATCACATTTCTAAATTTTCCTCCTTTTTTTAGATAAAACAGAATTTGTTCTGTTCATTCCTTACTAAATAACTAAGCTGATTATCAATGTACATCTGAGAACTACTATTTAATATTTGTCCAATAACACTAATAGAAATGGAAAACAGAGACATCAGACACTTTGCTAGCTGTTGGTTACAGAAATACAAGTTGCAATGTGCAAAATAAAGATAGGTACAAAAAACAGGTATTTAACTCAGAAGAAGCAGAGGTCTGAACTGCCAAACTAGGTTTCAAAAGATGAATGAGAAATGTAGCAATGAATGAATGGAAAGCCAAAATCTATGTAAATGTTTATTAAAATAAAATTTTTTAAAAGTTGAGAGACAAAGGCAAAAAGTGGCAAGGATGACATTGCAGAATGTTATTGTTAGGCATTGTTGAGTATGACTGACTCAATGATCTTTGAATAATGGACCTGACCTTGTTCTACTATATGCCGTAGACATCAACTCTGAGTACATTGGGGCTGTCTCTGTATCTACCCATCTCTTGAAGGGTCTTACTCTCTTTCTTTGACTCTCTTCAAGGAAAAGGTTCTCCTAGAAACGTGACCGAAGTATGGGAGATGAAGCTCTATCACCTTTGCCTTCAAGAAGCATTCCGGTTTTACTCTGTCCAAAACATATCTGTTTGTTCTTTTGGCAGTCCATGAAATATTCAACACTCTTATCTAACAACACAACTTAAAGGCATCAATTCTTTTCTACCCTCTTTATTCACTGGCCAGCTCTCAGATGCCTAACAAGCGACTGAAAAGACCATGGTCTGAATTAGGTGCTCTTCAGTCTTCAGACTGACATCAGGAATATCCCTGATGGTAGACTTTCCTGATGTGTCTCCTGATCCTGATTGACAATACCAAGTCTCTCCTTGGAGGTTAGGATTTTGAAGCTCTGTTTCACATACTTTGGGTACATGGCCAGGGGGTACTGGTCCTTGGAAAAGGACATCATGCTCTGAAGGGTGGAGGAACAGCATAGGAGAGGAAAGCCTCCAATGAGATAGATTGTTGAGCTACTAAGCAAGATGAAACCAATGACAAACTTCAGTCCTTTCTCCATCTGTCATGATGTTGCCTTATGATTGGCCCAGTGATGAAGATTTTTGTTTTATTGATGTTGAATATAATTCATATTGAAGGCTACAGCCTCTGATCTTCCGAAGCAAGTGTTTTCAGTCCTCTTCACTTTCAGCAAGCAAGGTTATGTCACCTGAATAAAACCCTACAGGTTTGCTACTCTGGCTTCAAATGAGAAATATGGATGAAAACCACTTAAAATGTTGTTTAAATCACACAGGTTTTGATTCCACTCACAGAAATGCTGAAATCGGTCATGTGTTCTTGTTGGGTGTTTTTTTTTAATATTCCTTCAGTTCATTTTATTATGTATCTGTGGTATAACGGGTTTGTTGCTCAATGTTTGCCTTCTCTAGATCATTGTCTTTAATCTGAACACGCTGCTTCAACTCTGTCTGTCCTGCAAACACATGGCTCGCCTACATCATTAACAGCTACGAGAGCCAATTCTTCCTCATGTAAATATGGCCCGTTAGTCAATCCACAAAGGGTTTGGCTAGTTTTGCCATTACATTAAGCAGACTCAGCAGCAGTTATTGGGACCTCACCACCGTGAAAGAAAATGAAGCCGAGAACACAGTTCATGTCCTCTGGGGCCAGAATATATCTAGCTATTATTACTTGAGAAGCTCTCTGCACTGAGGGAGTCTTATTTTTCTGTTGCCTGAGAAATTCTCTGACTGTGTTTTGTTGTTAATCTGAGTTGTTGTTAATCTAGCCTATTGACTTTCCTAATAAAAACCTCATTAACTGTGAGTATAGATCTGAGAAGTCTGTGTGCTCTACAAAGGATTTTTAATCCATTAATTAGGTACCATGGGAGGACATATATGGCCTTATGGGAATTAATTTTGTGTTATGGATGCTGTTTATGGGAGCCATGCCCCCTTGTGGAATTAGCAGAGGTCAGATTTGGCTATTTCCACACTGCCCTTGTTTATTTCACAATATCTCTAGGTGAAACCACTGATTTAACCAAAAGGCAAAATCATTGTAAATTGGGGAGGGGGGGAGAAATGAAACTATTTTCTTTTGCCTAGATCCAGAATCAACAATCATGGAGGCAGTAGTTAATAAATTAAATAGCATATTCTACTGAACAAATCTTTAGACAAGCATCTCTTTAAAGCACCAGAGAGAAACGAGGTCAGTTTACTACTTTATTATTTTGTGCGCGCGTCTGTGTGTGTGTGTGTGTATGTGTGTGTGTGTGTGTGTACCATCAAATCTAATCTGACTGGTACAGGAGGAGATTGCCCCACCTTCTCCAGCAGAGAATCTGGTGGATTCAAACTGTGTACCTATGGGTTTGTAGTGCAGCTTCTTGCCACTAGGCCACCAGAGCTCCCTAAGAAAGTCAGTATAAACACTAAGGTGTGCCTAACCTATATTTGAGTAGTTTGAAACTAATAAAGATCAAAGAACTGAATAGTAGTGTGTTGGCAAAGAGTATTCAAAACACTATGACGGCCTAGAGAAAACATCTTTCTTTGAACAAGTGCAGACCTACTGCTGCTCAAAGGTGAGGAGGGTGACACTCTGTGTTATATAACCTGGGAATGCTCTCAGGAAGGGCCAGTCCCTGATGTAAGCCCCACCCTAAGAGGCTTTTATAAGCTTATGGGACCTCAGCGCAAGGTGTCCTTTTCTTTTGGAGAAGCTCACTTACCTGGGACACAGCTTTTAGCGGCTCACCAGTCTCTACACCACCAGCCTGCCTCACCTCCAGTCACCATCCAGCTCTACCATGACTGACAGTCTACAAGGATGCTGTCCCAGTGCTCATCAATTTCTCAAAAAACAGCCTGATACCAACAGTCATGTGAGTCATACACCTAATGGGCTTAAGACTCTGAGAGACTTCCTAAGTAATCATTGAATTCAAGAGACAGAAAGGAGCTAGGAAACTGAGAAAAGGGGGAGATATGGATGTCAGGAATAATGGACTTAGACAGTAGGTCCAGAATTTGGGACAACATTGACCTGAGATTTCTTAAAGATAATATGCTATTAATCTTAGCAGGACAAAAATTATGAAGCCAATTCCTTTCAGACAGTTCTTTCCCTTATCTGTTCCAATACAGTGTTCATTATCTACCCACTCTTCCTAAAGTTGTATCCTTTCTGTAGTAGCTAAAGGTAGGGAATCTGAAGCCTAAGATCTGCATTTAATTCCTTGATATATTATCAATGAAATATTAGCTATTTTAAACACTCTGTTTTACTATCATTTTCTTCTGAAAAAGTTAAATAAGAAATGACAAAAGAAGATTAAATGCAAGACATTTACGCCAGTGGTTTGCATGTTACAGGTACTTGATATTTTTATTAAAATAAAATCACGTGATCATGAGATTACATGATTCTTCACAAAACACTCTTGGTATGTTTACTAGAAAGAAGAAACCACACAATTAGGCTGACTTTACAGTATAATTCAAGACTTGGTCCTTTGGTAGAAAGCAGATCTACTAGGAGGCCACATGTTTTATCATCAGCCCATAATCATGGCACATATGAACTGTGGCTCTGTCAGCAGGAATGGTCACTAGAAAACGTGCCTTTGTTCAAGTTACTCTTATTGAGTTGTACAAAAATTACTAACATTTGAAGGAATAAAGATTATAAAATAGATAAAAATGTGAGGAACCCATAGTTCTCTTTCTAATGAAACAAACAAGAAGTCAATACAAAATATTGAAAAAATGATAAAAGCCATCTAGTGCATTACTGGATTAATAGCCAGTCTGAATAATGCCAAATTTGGTATAAATCCAGTTTTATATAACTGTGAAATTATCTAAGACCATGGCAAAATTTTAATGTTTTAACTTCTCTGAAGCCCTGACAAATATAAAATTGTTATAGTACCTAGTGTGCATATGTGTGCATGTATGTATTTCATGTTTTTCTCAAATAGTCATTTAATTATTGACAGGAAAAATGCCCTAAAAGCCAAATAGTCAAAGGATCATTCAGCAAAAAGATCTGGAATCAAATCAATAGCCTTGAAAATGATTTTAAAGTCAAGATATATTTAATTGATAAAAAAATAAATCCATATTAAGAATAATATTATGATAAAATAATACACAAAACTCTACAACTTTAGTTAAGATTATGAGTGAGAGTCTCCAAAATGACCTATGATAGAAAATGTCAACCCAATTTTTTTCAATTATCTTACCTCAGAGCTGCTATCCTGTGGAAATGTCAATTTATGGTGATTGTTCCTAATCTCTTTTGTAGAATTATTCTTCCTTTTGGGTTCCTCTGGATTAACATCCTTTATAAATCGATGGGCAATGTCCAATACACTCGATAAAACTTGAGATTTGGCCTATTAAAAAAAGGATAAATTATGACTAGAGACTCTACTATGCCAGTCAAGTAATTATATAAATTCATATTTTCATCATTACTTGAGTCCTAAAATTCAATTTACTTAGTATTTTTAAATGCAAATGGATACTTCTATCAACCAACAAAATAGTGGCTACTATGATCACAGGCTAGTTTAAATTCAGATCAACCTACATGTATTAGAAACATTATATAATTCAATCTTCAAGGCAGCACTAAAACAAATTTTATCTTTCTTTTATTGGTAAAGAAATTAAATCTAAAAGAGTTTAAATGTCTTTCCTTTCATCAAAAAAGTGGGTGAAAAAAAAATTTAAAAAAGTGGGTGGTATTTTGGGGAAGTAGTTCTATGTGTATATAATAAGCCTAATGACATAGCATCTCCACTGTATCAACCCTCAACAGATACATGTATCATTTTGCGTGTATCACGGCTAAATAATGAAACAGAACTAGTTTAGGAAAATTCTAAATAAGTAGACATGGACAATTTTTTTGTACTAAAATATTCTGAAAGTTAGTTTAGTCCTTTGATGGTACAAGTGGTCTGCAATAACCTGAAGAACTAAAAGTGGACAGCTGGAACACACCCAGCATCACGGCAGAAGGTCTTGAAGTCTTCTATAGTAGATACTGTTGTGGCACTTGTTAGGTCTCTTCATTTCAGTTCTCACTCAAAATGACCTGATGTACAATCGAACAAACTACTGCCTGGTCCGGTACAATCAGAACTGTATGTTGGAGTCCACTGTTGCAGCTGTTGGTCTTTCTCTCTTTCATTTATCTCCTACTTGACCAGGTATGATTCCCTTCTCTAGGGACTGGCCCATCTGATGTAACATATTCAAAGGACATGAGATGAAGTCTCAACGTTCCTGCTTTGAAAAAGCATTCTGGATATGCTTCTTCTAAAATGTTGTTGTTATGTGCTGTCAACTCATAACAACCTTATAAACAACAGATCTGAACCTTGTCCTATCCTGTGCCAACATCATCATCTCCGACACACATGAGCCCACTGCTACAGTCACTGTGTCCATCCATTTCATTGATGGCCTCCCCCTCTTTTGTCGATTCTCCTCCTTTCCAAGCACGATGCCCCTCTCCAAGGAATATCTCTTCCTAACAAAATGGCCAAAGTCCTCCCTAGCCTCTAAGGAGCACTTTAGCTGATATTTCCAAGATACATCTCTTTGGGTTGCTTTTTTTGTTTGTTTGCTTGTTGTTGTTGTTGTTTTGTTTGTTTGTTTTTGTTTTGGTAACCCATTGTTCTTTTGGTAGTCCACAGGATATTCAATATTCTACAACATTACAATGCACAGGCATCAATTCTTCTCTTGCCATCCTTATTTAGTGCCCAGCTCTCAGACACAATTAAAAAGACCACGGACAGTCAGTGCACTTTAGTCTTCAGTACATTGGAGAGGTCTTTGAGAGCAGACTTTCCCAATGCAACAGGCTTTCCAAAATAGAATTCTTCCTTTTTTTTTTTTTTTTACTAGTTCTTAGTATATTCAGTATTCTTCACTGGCACAATAACCCTAATGTTTTCTTCTGTCTTTCTTATCCATTGGCCAGTTTTGTATCCATATAAAGTGATTAATAAAGTAATACAGCTTGGGTCAAGTATATATTAATCTTCCACATGGCACCAGTGCTTTTTGAGACATTAAAAAGGTCTTTTGCAGCAGATTTTCCCAGTGCAATACATCATTTGATTTCTTGACTGCTGTTTCTGTGAGCTTTGTGTATGCATTCTAGCAGACTGAAATCCTTGAGGACTTGTATCTTTTCTCTATTTATGTTGCTGTTGTTATTGGTCTAACTGTAGGATTTTTATTTTCTTCATGTTATGTTGTAAACTATCCTGAAGGTTTAAAGACTAGATAGTCTGTAAACACTATCAGTGTTTTAATTCATCTTCAGCTTTTTTTGAGGAAAGCAAAGTTGTGTCAATTGCATAGTGCATGTTGTTGAAGACTCTTTCTCTAAACTTCATTGCCACACTGTTCTACAAAGACCCCAGTTTCTCAGGTTATTTATTCAATATACAGATTGAAGTAATCCAACCTTTCCCTGTAGATAAAATCCCTTGTTCTGTTTGCACAAGTGCTTCCTTGTTTATGTTACTCACTAAGTGCTGTCATGTTGGAACCAATCTACAGCCGCCATGCCACTGGATCTTCAGAGCCTGTAAATCTCAAAGGAGGGGATTATCCATCTTTCTTCTGAGAAGCAGCTCGGGGATTTGAATTGCCTGCCTTTGGGTTGGTACTGCACCTCCTTACACACTTGGCTACCAGAGTTCCTCTGTAGGAGTTCTTTAAAAGCATATTTCCTCCAATTTTTAAATTTGTTTAATTTTTTAATGTATTCATTATTGCACAATTTCTCTCACTTCTCTCCCCACCCCTCCCCCATGTACTGTAATTATCCTTCTTTAGAAGTTTATGATCCACAGACTCAAATATTTTCGCATAGTCAGTAAAACGTAGGTAATCATCCCTGCCATATTCTCTACTTTAAACATCTGACATTAGTAGTTATATGCCTCTAGTCATGATCTCTTTTGAATCCAGCTTGAATTTCTGGAAGTTTTCTGTCAACATGCTATTGTAGCCATTTAAAAATTTTATTCAACAAAATTTTACTTTTGTATGACAACTATACTGTTAAATAATTTCATCATCCTGTTAGATTACTCTTCTTTGGAATGGACACAAATAGAGATTCTTGTAGTCCAGTTATTCAGTTAATTTTCTACTAAATTTCTTGGCATAGACAAGGAAGCATGTTCAGTATTATTATATGTTGAAACAATCCAACTGGTATTCTATTCTTTCTTAGAGTCTTGTTTTTCCAATAATATACTCAGTACAGCTTGGACATCTCTTAATACCACCGGCTTTTGATTAAAAAAAAACCCTATCTCTTGTTTACTGTTGATCAATTCTTTCTGGTACAGTCAAGATGTTTTGCTTTTTTTTTTTTTTACTCTTTTTTTCATGTTTCTTGCATTGTTCAATATTTTGCACCTAGAACCTTTCAATATTGTTAATGTGGCTTAAACAGTTTCTTCAGTTCTCTCAGCTTGGAAAATGCTGAGAATGTTTTTATCTATTGTTTTTTTCTAACTAAAAGGTCTTTGCACATTACAATACTATGCCTTCCTTGAACTACCTTTAGAATTCATACATTGAATTCTTTTCTCTTTTTTTTCTCCCCACTTTAGTTACTTTCTATTCATGAGCAAGCTTCATAGTTTCTTTTGAAATCTATTTTGATCTTTTCTTGCTTCCCTGTCTTTCATGGATGATGTCCTTTGTGGTTGCACAAGTCAATTTGCCTTCAGTCACTAATATCCAATGCATCAACTCTGTCTTTGAGATAACGGCTAAACTCAAGTGGAATATCCTGACTGCTGTACTTTGGTTCTAGCTACTTAGTTTTCATTTGTCTTCAACTTCAATTTGAACCTGATGCAGAGGCAACTGATGGTCTGATCCACAACTGATTTTTTATTTTCTTCTGACTGGTAATAGAGCCTCTCTGCAGTTTCTATTATGAAAAGACAGCTCTTCCTAGTCATATTCTGTGTAGCATTATATTAACACTATAATAAGTAATATCATTTTGACGTGGCTTATGAAAAAACAAATGACATAAACACTTATTTTTCTGTCACTGAGAAAGATATGTTCAAATAATAAGCTTTTAGTCAGGAAATATTACCATGAGCTTTCTAACATCATTTCCATCACCAAGCCATAGTTTCCAACTAATTATGGTTATTCTTTGTCTAACTTTCACATTATAAGCAGCTGTAATTCTCAACACATCTTAATTGCATGTTTGAATAATTACAGACTGCAGGAGTTGGTTAAAATCTTCAATTTATTAATCTTCCATTAGTGGTTAGTACACAAATTTGAACAATAGTCCTATTAACGGGTCTGCCTTGTGGGTTTATAGAGACTACTCCATCACTGACAACGGTACATTTCAGGATGTCTCTGTTGTTGTTCATTTCAATGAAAATGGAACTGATTCATAGCTCACCCTTCAGTGGGATTTCAGAGGCTGTAAATCACACGGCGGGTTGGGGGGGAGGAGGCAGAGATTACCCATCTTTTTACTGAGGAACACCTGGTCGGTTCAAACCATTCACCTTTAGGTTGACAGCATAACTCCCTAGCCACTAAAGCACCTTGTACTTCAACATATATGTCGAAATATTTTTTAGAATGAATATGACACTGACCCTCTTCAGTTTGTCACTCCCAGAACGGTAGATACAATTGTCTGATTCAAAATCTCCATCAATTGTCTTTTTCCACTCCCTGTAACTAGGATATTGACCTTCAATAATTTCAATTTTTATGATGTCCAGTTTGTCAAGGCTCATACCTCATGCATTCCTTGTTCTTATTATCATTCAATGTTTGTAGCTATTTGTTCTCATCTGAGACATGCCATATCATCAAATATAGGACCTAGAAGCTTTAATCTATGTTCTTAAGGTCAATTCTATTATGAAGACGCACTCTTCTGAGGTATATACTGGGTACTTTTCAATCGGAGGGACTTCTATTCCTTCAGCATATCGGAAAATAGCCCACTCTTACTCATAAAGTTTTTATTAGCCAACTTTTTACAAAGAGATCCCAGCCCTTTACTCTCAGTCTTGTTTGTTTAGAAGTTCTCCAGAAACCTATCTACGATGGTAGATCCTGCTGGTGTAAGAAATAACAGTGGCACAGCTCCCCAATTATTCCAACAGCACACAGCCCACCACACTATGACAAACTGAACGACAAGAGCTGGCCATAAAGATTATAGCCACGGTAACTCTGGGAAGCAGTTTATACTCCAAACACACAAGGCAGTCATTAGTTGAAATTCACTCAATAACAATAGATTTGGTATCTTGGGAGTTCTTGTTTTGTGGTTTAGGAAGTGTATACCATTAAAAACTGC